TAGCTGGTGCCGGTCTCTACTGGTAATTACAATAGAGTGGCCTCTTTTTTTTCGTTTTCTTTTTCAATGAATATAACGAAAGTGGCTGCCTCTGATAGTTTTTCTTGCGTATCAATATTTCAGTGTTTGGAAAGTCTGGTGCTTTAAGTAAACGTACAAGCTGCTCGTGTTAGAACTGATACTATGTTACCAAAGAGATGATTGCACCACGATGGGCTTGACAATGTGCTCAAAGTGCAAATATTAAGCCTGTGCTTGCTCTTTCTAAAACGCCTGTCTCCTGATCAAATTGGACGGAAGCCGAGGAAGAGAGGGTGCTCGTGCAAACATTCCAAGACGACTTGCATTTACATTTACTAAAATTCTTAATCTACAAATAAAAATCTAAAATTCTGTTGTGTTTAAATTTTGCATAAAATTTTTTAGTGATGGTGTAGATAAAGGAAAACTTTGTCAGATAATCCCAAGACAAGATGCACTTTTTAGGTGCAAATGTCTACTATCAGTTGCCAATGATCAGAAAAGATGCCGATGATAAATATATTATAGCTGGTGCAATGTCGTTTAGAAGTTGCAGTTTTTAGTATTTTCCAGCTTCAGTTTTCTTCAATGTTGGTCTCAAATGGTCACTAATTCGAACGTTGAACTTTAACGGTTCTTCTGGTGAACCCACAAGTAGATTGTGGCTGTTTGCAATTGCAGATCATCAGTTTCTCTCAATAGCTTTGTCAGTTTTAAATTGTTCAATGATTTCTCCCATGCTGCATCTCAATGTCATAAAAGACAACTTCGTATACTTCATATACTCTTGCTTTAAGTATATGAACTTGATAACGCTATCAGCGTTAGAGGAAGATACTCATCGGTGAGGATTTGAGCTGAAAACGCTAGTTCTAAGAGTGTTCTACTATAACTGAATAAAGTCGGTAAAACCATGTGATAACAGTTAAATGGTCTTTGCGATAACCTTTAACACTTGCTTGAGTGTTTTGGTACTTTGGTTCTGATTTTATAATAGCGATTTCTGGTGCAATCTGGTTTTGATCAAACGAATAAAATTGACTTGCGTTTTCCCGCGCTATCGCTAATCGACATCGATACTACCGATGTTGTTTGTGTTTACAAACTTTTTTCATTTTTTCTAGTATTTTGGTACCAATATCTAGATCAATTTAGCAGATTGTAAAAAATGAGGGCTGTTATTCAACGTGTAACTTCCGCATCAGTTACCGGTAAGTGTGAAGCGTCCATTTGATATAAATTCTCCTAACTTAAGGATTCCACTTTTGCGCAGTCGATGAAAAAGTAATCTCTCAAATTGGACAAGGACTCTGCGTTCTGATAGGCATTTCCCGAGATGATACAGAAGCGGACAGCGACTGGATGTAAGTGTAGACTTTTTTCGTTGTACTGAAACTAATGTTCCTTTCGATGCTTCAAAACAGATGCAATAAAATCCTTAAGTTGACGCTATTCGACAATACTGAAACTGGTAAACGCTGGTCTTCCAGTGTTACTTCGCGGGACTTTGAAGTTCTTTGCATTTCCCAGTTCACTCTTTTTGCAACATTGAAAGGCAACAAACCAGATTTTCACTTAGCCATGGAGCCGGTCGCTTCGAAAGCACTGTACCAGGGTCTTTTAAAGAAGTTACGCTCACAGTATTCTCCGGATCGTATTCACGACGGACAGTTCGGCGCATATATGAAAATCAAGATCGAAAATGACGGACCAGTGACAGTTAATATTGAATCACCAAATATCACTCCAAAAGTAAATAAGCGCGATTGCAAACTGAATCAACCATGTCCAGAGGATTCTAATAAAACCGATTAAAATAGTCAGAACTTTTTTATTTGTTATTAAAGATTTGATCAAATTATAAATAATCACATTAGACAAATTGTGCAAACTGACAATGTGGCAAGGCACAGCTGTACATGAAAAAGAGGTTCAAAGAAGTATGAGGAATGAGTGCAACATTGAAAGATAACTGTTAGGAAATAAGCTGAAATGGACATTAAAGAAAAAGAAAAGTACTGTAAACAAATAAATTTTTAGCACGTCGTAATCAGTCCGTTTGATCAAGGGAGTTAATGTAACCCTCCACTTTTTTCAAAGAAACTTCATCTAACTTCAGAGTCGGCAAAAGGTTCAAATATCTATCCTTTTGATCACACAGTTGCTTCCACTTATTCTTCAGAAGTGAAACTTCTTTCTCCCAGTATTTGATTGCATTTTTAATTTCTTCTTTCTCTTGTTTACGCTTTTCACGGAGCTTTTGTGCAGCGATTCGGTTGCGCTCTCGTTTGTCCAGCTTTTTAGGGCTAATCGTCTGTTTTCGAGCAAGTCGTTTCTCCTTTTTGGACTTTTTATAATAATCATCAACTGAAATCTTCTTATCATTAGTGAAAATTTCTTGAGAAGAGAGTTTGAGCACTTGATGGTCCGAAGAGTTTTCATCAGGCGAAATTGAGTTTATATCAAAGTCAGAAGACTGCTGATAAGACTGGCTTGATTTCTTGATTTTCTGACTGAAGTTAAGTTTGTGGACGTATTCCTGACTCATGAAACCAGTTGAAGAAAAAATGTCCTTAAGAAATAAGTGTAAAAATAAAATTAATTTTAAAATTAGACAATCAAGTTTACGACATACCTGACTACTGTCAAGAATCTTTGAAGCTTCATATGCAGCTTGCGAATCAACCGAAGCGATGGCCCTTTTTAAGGCAGCAGAGGAAAGCAATTCTAATCCGTGCTGAGAATCCTCAGTTGATTTTTGCGTACTGGGCAAACTGAAGTCCATTTCCAGTGACTGTGGAGTTCAAAAAAGGCATTAAAAATATGGTGAAAACAATGATGCAATGTACGTGAAAAGGATAACAATGTTGTTATAGTCAGGGCTAAAATAGACAAGTGAGCAAAGCAGATTAAACTCTTACCATTTTGATGATTACGCCGTATTACTGATAACTATGAGGTTAAAGTTGACGCAGGTGCAAAGATTGGGTTTCTCGGTGTCACACGAGGGTTTCTAAGAAGTGACTGGATCACCTCCCTAGCCAAATGCGCACGACATTAAAACGATCCAGTCTGTCTTTGCGCTAGACTTATTGTTTGCCTTGACTTGAGGAAAGTTATGATGCGCTGTTACTGTGCTAAGCAAAGAAAAACAGTTGGAAACTTTAGGATAAACGCCGTCCCTAGTATTAAATCAGAGTGCAGAGGGGCCAACAGAAAAATCTTAATATTTTTTAATTCAAGCAAAAAAGTTTGATCAATTTTTTTGTTGAGACATCTGACGGGTTTTTCGTGAACTAGCTCAATGTTTACATCTACAAAGCATTTCATCATTGCATTGTCTTTGCCGCAGATTCATCCAATCTGCCGAAAAGGGTTTCTTTTAAATGGCTTTTGTCGCCGTTCACATAGGTATAGCTCCCAGGATTATTTGAAAACTTTTGAATACTAATTAAAACTAATGAAAACATATTTTTAGGAGCTGGCTTCCATTCGCCATTGAAACGTGAGAAATATCAACAAATATGCACCATTGCTTGCGAAGCAGTGAGTTTTAGGTTTTCTCACAACTTTCTCTCTTTTAACGATTTCTCTTTAGGGAATGCGATTATTAAAAAACAATGCCAGCTCAATTGAAACCGTTGTTGCGGTGATTAAATGCCTGGAAGACGAAGAGTTGACAAACGCCGGCTATGGCTCTAATTTAAGTNTTATTAAAAAACAATGCCAGCTCAATTGAAACCGTTGTTGCGGTGATTAAATGCCTGGAAGACGAAGAGTTGACAAACGCCGGCTATGGCTCTAATTTAAGTATTAGTGGAAATGTTGAATGTGATGCCAGTCTGATGGACGGAAGTGATCTAATGTTCGGAGCGGTTGGTGCCCTGCAATCGGTGAAGAATCCAATTGAAGCCGCCTACTGTGTGCTGAACAGCCAACGTACCCCAATGCCTTTAGGGCTGATTGCGCCGAATTTCCTCGTAGGCGAAAGTGCCAGTAAATGGGCAATCTCCAAGGGCTGCGAGCAGTCCAGTTTACTGTCGGAGAAAGCGGCGCAAGTCTATGAAAAGTATAGAGCTAAACTGGACAGCTACCAGCAAGAAAACGAGCCGTTTCAGGATTTGCCGGTAAAGCGTGCCCGGTACGACACCGTCGGCGCCGTCGTCATTGATCTGCAGGGAAGAGTTGCCTCGGGCGTCTCAAGCGGTGGTCTCATTCTCAAACAGGACGGACGCGTCGGCCAGGCGGCCATAGCAGGGGCCGGCTGCTGGGCACAGGAGAATGTAGCCGTTTCAACCAGTGGCATCGGCGAGTACATCGTTCGTACCTCACTGGCAAAAGAGTGCGCAAAGGTACTTCTCGCTAACGACAGCAGTGATCAGTGTCCGCTTTCGGCGGTCACCAAAGTCTTTCAAGAGCAGTTCTTTGGTAAGTAGGGTTAGGTGGGGTGGTGGAAAGGAGTGATAATGTACCTGTGACTGCCACTTACAGA